TAAATAGGTAGGGGCAACTTTCTTTTAATTTATCTTAACTACACTAAAAACTTAAATTTATTGTGTTAACCAAATTAATTTACAAAGGCAAATAAAATAAGTTTGACAAACTTAATTCGGTTACATTTGGCAAATTAACATTTTTTTTTAAGTTGGAGCTCCATTTTTTTTTCAGTGTAGTTAAATATACTTGGTAAAGTCAACTTATTTGAAGTTGTAGTAATAGCTTTTATTAAGAGCTTTGACACTACTGAGTCAAGTTGAGAGTAGTTTTTTTTAGTGTAGTGGAAGTGTGTCCACCACTGCTGAGGTAAAATTCAAGAAGTAAGAAGACAAAAGTGGGTCAAAGTCAGTCAATCTGGTCCAGAACAAATACGCTTTCAAATTTAACTCGTTGCCAAAATGAAACATTATCAGAGATTTGTAAAAACCAAACCAAAAGTAAAAAAAAACAACATTAGTGTTTTTTGACAGACTGTTTTGTGACCCATTCTGAGGAAGTTTGGTGGTTTTTAACGGACCTGCTGGTGGGTGGGACCAGTTCAAGAGTCAACCATATACAACCAACAACATTCATACTGTAATAGGAAATACTACTCAAAAGGTAAGTATATAGTCACATTCCACGTAAATATTTAACTATACAAAAAAATTGTGTCCCAGTGGAGGTGGAAGTCAACAACTATGGGTACAAATTTCAGGCTGAAGCCTTTTTATGGAGCCAACCTTTGCACACCTTCAATCATCCAAAACCATAAAGAAATAAAACACACAGACCTGTCAAGGTCTTAAAACCTCTCTGTGGAAATGTACACACACTCCCAAAGTCTGAATGAAAACACACCTAACTGGGTTTGTTGAGCAGAAACAGAGGCGTGGGCCGAGAATTTACAACCAGCTGAAATATTCGTTTTTTTGTCCAGTTTCTTCATCGGAGCTCATTTCACTCTGGAGAATCTACATTTATTTACTGATCCTCAAGGGGACATTGTTTATTTGTTTATTGGATACTCTATCCGAAGTGTTAAATATTAGTAAAAACAAATATAACCATGAGGATATAAATAATATATTTAATATAAAATAGACAAAAGAATGACAAGCTTCACATGGAAATAAGTTAATCTACATATAAATCTATAGAGACGACGCAGCGCAACGCAAGATCACTTACAAAACTACTCAACAACAATGACTAGCATCAACTTTAGCTGTCAAGTTGTCAACTTAACACAATAAATCTTAAATGTACACATGATAATATAAAAGACAAAGGGACGCAGTGCTTTGCTACTAATTGTTAACACTAAGAACTAGAAAAGTTCAGGAAAAAGCTTCAATTAAACATAAAAGAGGAGAGGGAAGCAGGGGAGCTATGCTAGCTTGACTATGACAACGATAGCATGAAGATGTGCTGTGGAATTCTGTGTTTCGGTTCAGTTAAAACATAAAAATGGCGACCTATACACCAACTCTGACAGATCAGCAGAGCAGCTGTTCAAATGAGCTAATCTACCACCACAGTGTTAGACTAGCTAATGGCAGCAGCAGCTAATCTACCACTGCAGTGTTAGCATAGCCAATAGCAGCGGTAGCTAATCTACCACCACAGTGTTAGCGTAGCTAATAGCAGCGGTAGCTAATCTACCACTACAGTGTTAGCGTAGCTAATAGCAGCGGTAGCTAATCTCCCACATTGATCACTTATTAATAATCTCCAAATAAACATCGAGCCTAAAAACATAAAACTGTAACAGACAGAATGTTCTGCTCTGTGTGGAAAATGTTTGAGCGTTTTATAGTGTTGAATATTGATACATATAGTGGCGTTGTCAGTCCGTTGCTGTTCAACGGGTTTACATGTAGCGTAGCTGACACAGAGTGCGAGAAATAAGAAGAATGAGTGTTTTTGAGTTGTTCTTTAATGTTTTTTCTCCATTATTTTAACTTTGCTGTGATGTACTGCTCTAAATTAATACCTTCAGCTCCAGGTTTCATTTTAATGAAAATTTTCTACTGCACCAAACAGATGGCAAGAAAAAGAAATGGAGTTTCTTGTCTGCATGTGCAAAATTACTGAATGTAAACAACATGCAACACTTCAATAAATGAGCTCAGAGAGAACTTGGATTCATTTTTTTCTCTTTTTTTTTTTACATAAATATTAGTTTCCATTTTCCTTTCCTCCTGTCAGTCATATCATTTAAACTGAATCTTTAAGCCATTTGAATAAAAAACTGGTTTCCGAATCAAACTGTGGGCCTGAAAATCGTAATCCGATTGAGTCGATAGACACTGAAAGTGTTGCATCTCCAGCAGACGCCAAAGTGACCAGAAACCTAAAATCACATGTAAAGATTTCAAAGACCCCCAGCAGTTTGACTCCGGAGGACGACACAGACTTATGTTCAGCAGCAATATTTAACTTCCATCACCATCTATTGTGAACTATAAATAGCAGCTTCTCCGTTTCCCAGAATCCACTGATAAGTGACCTGAACTCATTGCTCTCAGGCCGCGAGAGCAAGAGTGATAATAATGGGTTGAGAAAATTGCAACTGCTGCAAACTCCATTAGGTCATTTTTCCACAAAAAGCTTCATATCGCAGAACAACAGGAGAAAATCTCTGCCCTGCGCCTCATTTTATTCTGCCTCTGCGCTGGAGAGCGTTTAAAGGGCTGAGCTCATGCTGATTTCAGAGCTGGTTGCGTTTAGCAGCATGTTGTAAAAGGTGCAGAGGTCTGAAGCTCCGGCTGCTCCAGACATCATTACAGTCAGGCAGGAGAACGGACCACTCCACTGCAAGGGAGGCGGCTAATTGCTCCTAAAGACCGAACTCACATGAACACACACCAACACACACCCGGCTCATCCAGACAACAGGTCCGGCTCAGTGGAGGAGGGTGTTAATAATTAAGGAAGTCCTGAAGATACAGAAACATCTCAACCTCAGAGCGTGAAGCCAGCAGCTCAGTTATTAAAATTACTTTTCCTCTGGTGGGGTTCGAATCAAGAAAAGCATAAAAACACAATGACCCCTGCATGTTACTGTTTACATCTGGACACTAAGCGCCTGAGTTCAACGCTGGAGGACAAAAACACGATTATTTTACCTGCCTCCATTGAAGCCGCGCTGCTACGATAAAACGTGTTACCAAATGTTAACAAAATAAAACCTGGAGACGTCGGTATTAACTTAGTGTGCCACAGCAAAGGGAAAAAAGCGCAGAAAAACCGTTGAAAAACAACTGAAAACCACTCACTACACGCAGGCACGTTGCCATAGCAACTGACAACAAAGCCACTACATGTTTCACGATTCAACACCAAAAAACACTCAAACATTTTCCACACAGAGAGCAGAACATTCAGTCAGTTACAGTTTTATGTTTATAGGCTTGATATTTATTTGCAGATTATTAATAATGGATCAATGTCGTAGATTAGCTGCTGCTGCTATTAGCTACGCTAACACAGCAGTGGTAGATTAACTAATTTAAACACCTGCTCCACTGATGATCTGTCAGAGTTGGTGTTTAGGTCGCCTTTTTTATGTTTTAACTGAACTGAATCACAGTATTCCACAACACATCTTCATGCTATGGTTGTCATAGTCAAGCTAGTGTAATTTGAGCTGGAGGTGAGAAAACGGTTCACTGACAATGACTAGCATTGGTTTTAGCTGTCAAGTTATTAACATAATGTGCTAAATATTAAATGTATGTGTCATATATAAACAAAAAAGGGACCCAGTGCTTTGTTACCAATTTTCAATGGTATGACAACGTCAGGAAAAAGTTTTACACTGGAAGCCATTTTAAATATCCAAAAGGAATAAGTAAAACAACAGAAACAACAGATAAAATTAATAAATTTATTTATTAATTAGTCTTTGTAAACAAAATTGTCCTTCAAAAAAAGGTTAGTTGAGATAAAAGCACCAGACTGGAAACTTTTATTATCCATTTTTTGGTAGAAAGACAAAAGCGACAAATAATGCAAATAGAAATAATTGAGCCAGCTTTACTTTAATGTGTGGTTAATTGATTTATTGCCCTATTATACCATTGCCATGATATTCTTAGAAAACAACAATATTGTCTTTTATCGCAATAACTTCTGGAACAATTTATTGACCAGCAAAATTTATTACCGTGATGAGCGTAGTTGTTGACAAATGCTAATTACTAGCATAACAAACTTCCTCTTTTCTCCGGACAAGTCTACTTTGGTAAAGCCATCCAAGGAGAATCAGGACGTCCCTCTCACTCTGATTCGTCTAAAAAGCAACGCGAGTTCCTGACTGACTTCGCAGACGGTCCGGTCATCTCAGGCGACCTTCAACACCGACGTCTTCAAACCGTCAGTCTGACTGAACCGACATCTTTTCCTCATTTATCATTGTTCTGCTGAAAACAGGAGGTGATCAGGGGCTTTTTACAGTAACGTGCTGGTGAACGTGTGTGTGTGTGTGTGTGTGTGTGTGTGTGTGTTGTGTGCGTGCATGCGTGTGTGGACCATCTGCTGTGCTGAACTGAGCGGCCCACTCCAGCTACAGGCTCTGACAGCCTGCTGTTTTGTAGAGTAGCCAGATAGCTTTAACTCTGGGTGTCAGGCCGGCCACAGCAGCAACTGAGATCACATTCAAGGTCTCAGACAAATAATACTGTCGTTTTTTTTTTCTTTTTACCAGTTTAATAAAAGTCTCATAGCAACAGCAGAGGTTGCAGCTGTTGCTACCGTCAGAGATTCTTCAGAGCAAAGTAGTGCTGCAGCTAATGGTTACTTTAGGGATCGATTATTGTGACTAATCGGATAAAAAAATGGCACATTCTGTTGATTTTTCATTTAACCACAAACTTATTTTATTACTATTAGTAATAGTACTTTAAACGAGATTAGAAATAGGTGAAATGCATATAAAACGAATAATTCAGTACCTGCAGAAATTAAACACCATGACCAAGGTGCAACAATATTTCATTAATTTCTTAATTACAGTCTCTTTTGCTTGTACATATGTAGTTAGCATTAGCAAAGCTAATTTCAACTTCATTTCTCGAAATATTATATATAGCTATAATAACATATATTATATATATTATATTATAACACTATATAATAAATAATATTATATGCTTATATTATATATAAGCATTAAATACCACCTAATACTATAATTCATCCAATTTTGTTATAGTCCATGTAATTTGATTACATATTTTCTATATACAAAAAGATAATTATTATTATACTCAAATATAAATATCTATATCTATATAGATATATATCTAGATAGAGAAAACCTTTCTGTTGACTTCACAACAGACTCATTCAGCTTCACTATTTATTCTAATCGAAAGGAGAAATTCAAAGTTGGTGGCTAACATCAGCCCAGAAGCTTCTGTCCCCCGGTAACCGACGGCAACAGAAAAAGGGGGAGGAGCTGTCAGTTACCGGTTGCTAGGTAACCACCAACTGTCAAGAGCAGCAGAACAGAACTTGATACACCTATAAATATCTGGAGAAAATAACTTTTGACTAAACAAAATGAATTCAAAGAACAAATAAATTCTGACAAACTTCATATCTATGATAATGTTGGAATAATACCACACGTAAGGATCAGCCAATCAACAATCTCCCAAAATTAAGGAAATCAGGGCAGATTTATCGATGAACCCCTAATTTGGGGGGGGGGGTGCCTTTTTGTCCCCCTTTGCGATCAATCCATTTTCTGTTCTAGTGCTAGCTGTGGTAAAAACGTAGCTATGTGAATCCATTTCAGGCAGTTGAAGACAATAATAAGATAAAGATGCACACAAACTGACCAAACATTGAATTCAGTAGTTTTTCTCACATTTACTGCATCAGTTAGGACTTCCAACCTGACCAGGATTACTACCTGAACTTCAACATCAAGTCAGGGTTGATAAGAAAATTTGGAAATTTCCTGTCAACTCTAAACATTTTAACTCAAAAATCACCAGAAACAATAACACAAATCTGCGCTCCCAGCTGCTATCAATCAAATCTTTCCATTTTTCAGAATTAAATCGATATTTTTGGCGGCTCCTACCGTCGTCGTCCTTGCTGTGGCGGATCCTCTCCGTGCGGCTGGCCGGGCTCAGGTCCGACACCGCGCCCAGATCAGCTGGTAGCCATGTGGGCTCGCTCATCTCTGCCTCCTCCTCACTGCTCAGTGAACTGTCATCCTGAAAAACAAATGGAGAAAAAAACGCTCAGAATCAACATAGTTTCCTCTCATTTTAGCTTCATTCCAGCGTTAGCTTCTATAGATGCCTTTAAAAATCCACAAATCGGAATTACGAAAATTAAGGAAACACGGCGATTTTGATGAAGCATGTTTTTTTTGATAAAAGGGTTTTATGCTAGGGTGAGGGGGGTTTGTGTATTTCACAAAACTCCAATGGAATTTTTTTTCCCACATCACGAGTGACAGGACCAACAACAGGAAGTCACTACTGGAAGAAACAACAAAGAAGACAACAGGAAGTAAAGGAACATTGATATTAATTGCAGCGTTAGTCGTCCAGAAACTGTGACAGATATATCTTTCAAGTGCTGGAAGAACTTTAGCAGGTTTATTAAAAACCGTATGATGAAGGTTGTTTCCAGGAAAGTTTTTTTTCTTTTTATAATCCCCAGAAAGGATGCTAATTATTATTTTTTTTATTAAAAAAATGCTAATTCTTTTGACGAAATGTTACATTCATAAATGTAAAATTTTAAATGAAACACTATATTTTCTTAATTTTGTCAAGGATGTATGTCTGTCACAATAAATTTAATTCAAATACAAATTCAAAAATATTTTATTGATCCCAAAGAAAATTTTAATTAATTAAAAAATAAGTATTAAATAAATTGTGATAAATGGTAACGTTGTTGTTTTGAGACTCTGTGTTTATATCATCTGTAAAATAAACCCTTCAGAAATGATCCCCACTATAATTTGGATTAAAATCACTAACAGGATCGATGGAAGCGACTTTAATTGAACCCAGATTCCAGGGAAATACTTTCACTGCTGTCGGGAAAAACAAAATTAAACAGTTTTATGGGAAAAATGGGATTTCTGGGAAGGACCAGAAGCAATTTTCCGTCACTTTGTGCAACTCAGAACCAGACGAAAGCTTTTACCAAAACATGAGTTGGTTAATATGACAGAGAGTTCTGAAGCGAAGCTGCAGAAACTGATTAACACAGAAAGAAGACGCTGCGACTTCATGCAGCTCAGGAAGAAATGAAACAGGTATTAATAAATGTTTTACTTCAGTCACAGTTGGATGGTAAACCTGGAATAAGAAGCAGGGAGGTGTTGAATCCAACTTTTACTGGAGAAAACTAAAATGTTTCACGGAAGCAAACTACGATACAAGACATGTCAATTCAATTTGAATTCAATCAAAATTCAAATTCAAAATTACTTTATTAATTCCAAAGGGAAAATAAATTATGTTGTAATTCATAAAAAATGTTTCAAATACTTGTGGATGATGATCTCCTGTAGCTGTCTGTATTACAGCAGATCAAAGAAAGCCTCTGACTGAAGACAGCAGCATTTTTTGTTTACTTATTTTGAAGCATTACATTAGAAAAGCTTGAATTCAAAATAACTTCCTCAATTTCACAAAGAAGCTCGTACGTTAGCTGCATACAAATTTTCCAGCCCGCAGGTGTCTGTGCCTTACCAGAGGCACAAATGCAAAAAAAGCGATAACTATAGTGTCATTTTTCTGTTATTAGAGAATCTAATGAGAACACTAATCGCAAATCGTAGACGCTAACCAACCTGTTCCAATGTAGGCAATAGGAAAATTAAACTGCAGTACCCACTGTTCAACCAAAGAGGGCAGCACTGAGATGGATTTAGGCCAAAAATTATAGATTTAATCAAATTTTCCTCAGAAATGTCACAATTTAGACATTTTATCACCAAAAAAAAGTTGATTTAGGGTTTGGTTACTCTTTAAATCAGGGGTGTCAAAACTTTTTGCCCTAGTGGCGAAAACTGGCAAATTTAAACAAATCTTTGTATAATTAAAGATCCAAAACTTAAATAGGGGATTTATCTTTTATTTGGTTAACAGAATAGTCCTTTCATGTAACAGAATCGTCTTTTTGTCCTCCAGCGCATGTGCAAAACTTCTGTACGTAAACAATAACACCCAGCATGTCTGTAAACTCATTCGACTCAGTTTATGTTGAAATCTACTCATCTGTTTTAAGATAATCCTCATATTCCTCAACCAGGACAGCTGGTGAAGATCTAAAAACAAACATCAGACGTTGGGGGAGTTTGAGCTGCAGGTTCGTCCTTCTACCTGCGCTGATTCAGTGATTCAGCAGTGACTCAGTTCTGGTGAACAGGACTTCCTCCGATTGTCGGTGAATCAGCCGACATGGCTGAACCAGCAGACAGGACATCGGGGGACTGTCGCTTCAAATCGCCTTCATTCAGAGGAAAACTTCCCGCTCTGCCAGCAGCAGGGCGTTTTCAGAAAACAAGGACGTGTTAAAGAAACGATGCTATATCTGCTCTTCTCACTGAGCTTTGGAGGAAGTGGATCGTTCCAGGTGTTACATCCTCAGGTGAGAGGTGGATCGGTTGTGATTTAAATTTCTCACCTCGGCTCTGTGTGACACAAAGAGACTCATTTGTTCTTTTGTCTGATTTCATTTACAGAAACAGGAAAAAGTAAGTATTAATCACGCCAGAGGTTTTTCATGTTTTCCCCAAGAAGCTGCTTAGATTTTATATCAAACAGAAAGCAGTGGAGTAGAAGAAAAAATACTAAATTAAAAATCAGAAAAATGTAGCTTAGCTTCTGGTCTTTTGAACATCTGGAGAACTAAAGATTATATTTTCTGTGTAAATTATCTCAATCTCTGTTACATTGGAATGAAACCCTCTGTGTGCATCTGAAGTCTTGACACAAACTCTATTGAATGTTGGTCTGAACTTTGACTAGACCATTTGACTAGACCAAAGTGAGTGACTGACTTCGCTTTGCAAGTCAGTCACTGCCTCCATGCATTGCTAGGCAGGCCCCAAAAATGGAAAAATAAATTTTTTCATTGCATTTTGCCACTATCAGTGGTGGGGAAACTTCCACTAATGCGCTAGTAGCATAGATACATTTTCATTTAGAGTTTTAGTGCTTTGGCTAAACAATATCTCCAGAGCTGATTCTTATGTCAAATAAGAAACAAACAGAAACAAACCAAAACATGGACTGCATAGAAAAAGATGTAAACATGAATAAAATATCTAAATGCATTATAGAGAATGTGAAATGTAACATTAAAATAACACTGGTGCCAGAGGGCTGTTGTCAGTAGAGATGATCTGAATTAAAGTTGGCGCGTTAGCATTAGCAGAGCTAAAGTTCTCTGGTTAGCGCAGATCCAAACCTTCTGTGTTGGTCTGTCAGATAAAAATCCAATGAAAAGTCGTAGTTTTAGTCAGACTCTCAGTGTTTGCATTTTCTGAGGCTGAAAGCAGGGAAGCCGGAGAGCGATCCCAGGAAATCTCGGTGTGGCATCTTACTCAGCGCTCAGACTTTTCCGAGGCCGGTCCTTCCCAGCACCGAGGAGCATGAATCAACTCTGACAGCTGATCAAATCAGAGCTGGCTCTAATCTACTCTTAATTCCTGCTCAAATACTACCAACAGCAGACCCAACAGCGCCGTCTCACCGCCGGTCAGCCGCAGCGCTGCCACCTCTAAACGTCTTTACTGCACTGAAGCGCCGCCGTCTTTACCTCCGACCGAAACATTTACTGACAGGAACAAGGCAGATGTGTGACTTCAGGAGGATTACTGTTTATTTCCCAGAATAGAGAGAAACCCAACATTTCTTCTACAGGACTCTTTCCACACAGAAACTGTGTGGAAAGAGTCAACACACTCTAACCTGCAAATTATTGCAGGTTAGTCGTTTCTCTAAATCTAAATTTGCAAAAATCAGGAAAATTAAAAATATAAAACAGTTTCAAACGGCCTGAAGCTACAATGTGATGAAAAAAAGTCTCTACTGTATTTACACTGTAAACATCCACATCCCTGCCTCAGGCTTTCAAATGTAAATAAGCAGCAATGATCACACAGCACAGGGGTCTCCAAACTGTGGTTCATGGGCCATTGGTGGCCCTCAGAGTGTTTTTATTTGGCCCCTGAGGCAGTTTATGAATGATGGTTGGTGCAGATGGAGACTTTACTTGAAATAATGGTAAAACTATCACTAATGTAATTTTAAATACAACACAAAGTTTTCATCTTTGTAGAACCAATCATCAGATTCACGTCGATCCTGAGACTTTTTGCTGACAAGTTGATTTTGCTGCATCCAAAATCAGATTTTATTTAATTTTTTAACCTTGGTAAACAATAGGCAGCATTTTGAAAGAAAGTGACCCAAATCCTGTTGCTATGCTGAGTATAAATTTGTTCAGTTAAACCCAAAAGAATTTGAAAACTATTTGTTCAAACAGACATGCAAAAAACAAAGTTATGGATTTATAATGACTTTGTACATCGGCCTACCACAATAAAACAGGTAGTCATATAGTAAATTAAAATTTATTTTAACATTTTTTTAATTTAATTTTGATTTGTATGATTTGTTGTTGTTCGCTTTCGACCAAAAACTGGATAGTGAACGTCTTCAGTCTGGTGTTTCCTGAGACTTCATAATTCATTTTATTTGTTTTGTTTATTTATTTTGGAAACTTAAAATATTTTCCAGTTATGCCATTACTAATATAATATTGGAAAATGGTCTCAAAACAACAATACTATCGTTCATTGCAATAATTTCTGGAACAATTTATCATGCAGCAAAGTTTATTATCATGGCCTATTTGTACAACAACAACAACAGAATAAAATTGACAATTTTGTTTGCCTGACTTTAGTTTTTTTAGCCCACTTGTTCTTTTGACTCAATAATTTTGGCGCAGGTTAAAAAGTTTGGACGCCCTGATAGAGCGGCTCTGAAGTATCACTGATTTAAACGAGCAGATGTCAGAATCCCCTAATAATCCTACATTTATAATAAAATATCAGAAAACACGTTTTCAACTCAGAACCTCATTTTTAATAAGTAAGGAGCATCTACGTCGCTCTGCTTTCTGACTTAAACAAAGAGCGTGTGTGTGCGTGTGTGTGTGCTCCCAGATTTCCCCAGTA